TCACAAAGGGAAAAATGCAACTTTACAAATGAGCAATCAGTCTGTAAACACCTGAACTCATAGATCAGTAATTACTAAATTACTGGATTACTAAAATTAGTAAAATCAGATTACATGCTTTCTGATATGATGTAGTAGGAAGTACACCGCCTCACCTATTAAGTATTCATACCAAAAATACTGAACATTAATCTTATGAAGCCTTTAAATTTAAATTACCGAAGAGAGCAAAACAAGTTGATAGCACTACAAGGAAGCCATCAGATTCATCCAAATCAATGACAGGCATAAGAGTGGGGGATTAGAAGGGATTGTTCTAGATGAAAAGCTTAAAAATTCAACCAAATGCAACCAAAGGGGTGAATGGGAGTGAGGAACAAAGGAGGAAGGGGGCTCCATGTTTGATTTGGTATGAAGAGGTGTGAATCTATATCTCTAAATGTTTTAAACCAAAGTTGTTACCTCGGTTTAATTAAAATTCACATGTGGGCCCTCCCTGGTGGCACAGCGGGTTAAAGCACAGCACTAAGAAGCTAAAGCCACTTCAGCATGAGTTCGATCCCAGCCCCAGAGGTGATCCAAATGGTGCTGCAGACCTCTCCTGACGCACCCACTGCTCCCCTCAGCAGTGTACTTCGTCAGTCTGCCCTGTTCTGCTCCCCAATCTGTCTCTGATGAAGCCTTTCACCATCCCTGCACCTCTGGCCTGTACCTCAGTTCTGTATACATAATTTTTTTTAACTTCACATGTGCATGTATACATATGTATATGTGAGAGTATATATGTGTATATATGCATATGACCAAATATAGTATGTGGTTCTTCTGTTATTTGGATTCATGTAAACCAAATTTTATAAAAAAGGCCATTTGAAAAATTTGAGTATCGAGTATGATATTCATACTTGAATTGAATATCAATGAATTAAGTTTATTTAGGCAAGTGTGATATAGCAAGATGGTTTCATAAGACTGTTCCTTGTTACATATTTTAAAGATGAAATGCTATGTCTGAGGATCTATCTTAAACCACACTAGAAGAAAGAGATTAAGGTCATGAGGAAGAATCAGCAAATCTGAGAAGCAGCAACCAAAGAGGTTAAGAAGAACTCAGAAGAGAGAGGGATCCTCAAATCAAATGAATCAAGTGTGTCATACAGAAGAAATCAACTCTATCAAATACTGCTGATAGATCAATGAAGATGTGGATTACAAACTGACCATTAGATTTCATTATATGAAAGTCATTGGTGACCTTGACAAGAGTAGTTTGATTAGAGTAACAGGAGAAAATGGACAACATAAAAAATAGAAAACGATTGGGCCAGAGTTATCATTCAAGATTGAAGGAGGAAAAGGAGCTTTATAGAGAAACAAAAAAGAATATATCACCACCAAGTTAGCCTTGAAATACTAAAAGGACTCAGAAAATAACAATTTCATCTAGAAGTAATAGACACCAAAATTATACAATATGGAGGAAAATATGGACCATTAGAATGAGTCTGAGATCAAACTGTTCAGCAACAGGTCACAATAAAGATCTTCACATATAAAAGCATAATCTAAAAAATCTGTAGAGGTAACATATAAGTCAATGGAAAAGAAAGCAACATAAAAGGTGTCAAAGACAAAAAGAAAAAAAAAACTATAAACACACAAATAACAATTTGTCAATTTGTCATAATTTTAGTCATCTTAAATATAAATACTTGAATTCATCAATTAAATTTGTATAGAGCAGCTAAATCACAAAAGAAAACAAAATCTAACATTTTGTTATTACAAGAAACTCATTTTACTACTAAAGTAAAAGGCTGGAAGACAGGGCCCTCCCTGGTAGTGCAAGCGGGTTAAAGCACAACACTAAGAAGCTAAAACCACTTCAGCATGAGTTCAATCCCTGCCATGGAGGTGACCCACATGGTTCGGCAGACCTCTCCTGACCTACCTACTGCTCCCCTCAGCAGTGTACGTGGTCCATCTGCCTGTGCTGCTCCCCACTCTGTCTCTGGTGAATCCTCTCACCAGCACTGAACCTCTGGTCTGTACTCCAGTTTCATATGCATAAATAAATAAATCTTAAAAAAAAAAAGGGTTGGAAGACAACCTGTAAATAAATGGTAGTCAAAAAAGACACAAACAATCCAGCAATCCCCCTCCTAGTCATCTATTCAAAGGCCATAAACCCTCTAATTTGAAAGGAAACCTGCACTCCTATGTTTACTGCAGCTATTTACAATAGCCAACATATGGAAACACCCAAATGCCCCAAAACAGATGGATCAAAAAGTTGTGGTATATTTATGCAATGGAATAGGACTCAGCAACCACAAATAAGACAAACTTATGTTGTCTGCAGTAACATGGTTGGAACTAGAAGGGATTATGCCAGCCAAAATTAGTCAGAAGGGAAGAAATAAATACCAGATAGTCTCACTTATGTGTGAAATATAGAGAAACCAAAAAGGTCACGAAGTCAAAGCTGACAAGCTGATCATAGGACTAAGGCATGCAGCAAAGGAGCAGGCAGGAGGGGGAGCAAAACAAGGGAGATGAACATAAGGTAATACGGTGATAGCTCACAGGTGATATGGTAGTGGGAGAACTACAGGGACTACAATGACATAAGAAAAAAAAATTTAATTTAAGAATGGCAGGAACAACTATACTTATAACTAGATAAAAAAGATTTCCAGTTAAAAAGGGTAAGTGACAGAGGGCCCTCCCTGGTGGCACAGCAGGTTAAAGCACAGCACTAAGAAGATTAAACCACTTCCTCATGAGTTCATCCCTGCCTGCCCTGGAGGAGATCCACATGGTGAGGCAGACCTCTCCTGACCCGCCCCCGCTGCTCCCCCAGCAGTGTACTTCATCCATCTGCCTGTTCTGCTCCGCACTCTGTCCCTGGTGAATCCTTTCACCCTCTGCATCTCTGGCCTGTACCCCAGTTCTGTATGAATAAATAAATGTTTAAAAAAAAATTTAAAGGCCCTCCCTGGTGGTGCAGCAGGTTAAAGCACAGCACTGAGAATCTAAAGCCGCTTCAGCATGAGTTCGATCCCTGCCTGCCCAGGAGGAGATCCACATGGTGAGGCAGACCTCTCCTGACCC